TATATATATATAAACACAACAAAGAGAATTTAGATAGCTCCTGATGAATCTCCACTGGAGATGCCACCTAGAAGTATAAAGCCTGAAACCTTGCAGCACTAACCATTCTGGACTGAAAACATTCCATTTTCATCATATCCTGTGGCTCAATAATGCTGACTCTAGTAGGCAGGGTCAGCAACAAATTACACTTCTCAACTGCTTGAGCAATTGAAATTGAAAAAAATTTCTAAATTGACAAGCATGGCCTGTAGATAACAAGAGTGGTAGAACAGGACTCACAGCTCCTAGTCTTCTCCCAATACCCTCACATGAACAAGTGACCAGAAATTCTTATAGGAATGTTGATAAACTAGAATGAAATGCAGCCACAGAAATGACTGGCCAGCACAAGCAAAAGCGGAAATGATGTACTGGACACGGATCTTTAATTCTGAGAAAAGAGAGGAGGGGAAGAAAAATATAAGCACTTGCTGCTTGGGCTTTTGGCACTCACTTCCAAACACAGGTCCCCTCCCCTACCACCTACCAGGTTCCTGTGAAGGTGAGCTCGGAGAACTTGTCTCAACCTGGTTCCTTTCCACATGTATTTCCTCTGAAGTCTTTTCCTTAAATGTCAAGGAGCTTTCCAGCCAAACAGAGGATTTCTCTGGCATTCTGTTGCTCTCAGTACTTAAGCTCTTGGAAACTGGTAGATCTGTAAGCCTGGAGCTGACAGGCAAAGCTGCAGAAAAGCTCACAGGGAAGGATTCAAAACTGCATGAGAGCTCCATAAGATTGTTTGAAAGTGATATGTCAGCTATCTGCTCCACCAGGAAGGCATCTGGCTCAGATAGGAGATCTCTAATGCAAGAAAACTTCCCCCTCAGAACAGTTTGCTTGGATTCAAGTTCTGTTGAACTTGCAGTGAATGCCTTGGCACTATCACTTTGGCTGGCCAGCAAATCAGTCTCTGGAGGTCTAGAGGTGTTCTTCCTCCAACGCTTTGGTTTGGGATCAGCCTCTTTTTCTGAAGCATTCACGCTGTTGTCAGCTTTAGCTTGCCGCTTTCCTTGAAGGCCTCCTGACTGTTTTTTACTGCTCTGAGAAGCTACCATCCTCTGAACTCTGTGGATTTTGCTAGCTTTGCTCCTAGGAACAGACGTGGGAGGTACAATCTCGTCCCCTTCAAAATCTGTCTGGACACAACCCAAGTTTTCTGTAAGATCCAAAGGACGGATAATATAAGTTCTCCTGCTGCGTTTAAGATTACCTAGTGAGTCCTTTCTGCTCTCCTTAGCTGCTCCTCGACCATCTACGGGTGGCCCAAAAGTATCAACTTCGTTTCTCTGATCATTACAACTGCTTTTCTTGACAGTTGTCTTCCTGCTTGTCTGTCTTCTTTTAGGCTCTTCTTCAGCTTTGACCTCTGGTATATTTACACTGTCTGGCAGGTTCTCTGCATCAGAGTAATCTCTTGGCCTAATTACTCTAGTTTTTCTGTTGTTTTTCCACTCAATGCTCTTTATGTTCACACTTGAGTCCTCTTGCAAAGCACAAACACTTGAGGTCTCTTTCCTTGAGAACAGTGAGTTTTGTAGACTGGAATCATCTGAAGGCAGTTCATGACTCAAGAAGGTACAAACTGGGCTTTTTGACAAGCTCTCCATGTTCTGGGTCTCAACGGTAGGTTCCTTTTTAAGCTGCTGCAGTAAGTCACCACTTCCAACACTGTGCAACTGCACTGGATTCACAACATATGTTCTTCTGAGATCCCGAACTTCATCAGGTGATTGGGAATGTTGCTCCACACCAAAGCCTCTGTTCTTCCTGTTGAAAGCCCCCACGGAAGCCTTCTGCTTCATCTCAGAAGCTTCGGACTCACTCGAACATGTTGCAACTTTTGGCTGAAGCAGCTTTGTTGCATTTTGAACACTCTCTTCCCCTTGAGGTATATCTGGACTGCTCTCTGCATTGGTTTTAATTGCATTTCTTTTCTTTTTTCTTGTGCTTGCTTTTTTAACAGTTCTTTTCTCACCAGTGTTACAATTACCTTTGCTTTTAACCTTTACAGGAACAAACTCAGTGACATGGCTATAGCTGGGATCTGTTTCAACACTACACCCAGTTTCTTTAGCCTGTGGCTGATCACAGAAAATCTCTTTACCCAAAGATTTTCTGTCAGGAATAGCAGCAGTTTGAGTAGGTGAAACCAGGGAGCTGGGACATTTCAGCTGTGGCTGTGTGTTGCTCTTACTGGAGCTGCTGCTCTCCTTCGTGATACTCCACCGAGCCACCTGAGTGGAACTGTCATGTGGGAAGATATCCTCAGCATAAGATGGAATGCTTGTTGCAGTTTGGGAGGAACGCTTTCTTCTCTGAGTAACATGCGCTTGTGAAAGACGGTCAAAGAATTGCTTTGCCATCTCATCATCCTCATATGAAAGAGACCATCTTTCCCAGTTGAGTGCTGGCAAATCGGTGGGATTTTTTTGGGTCATGCACAAGGCCTCTGCTGGAAAGAAAAAAATTATTTCCTAGGACTGAGAAATGCAACAGGCAAATGCCAGCTTTCCCCATACCACTAAAAGCCATGGCACACACACCGGCACAAATCCAGAGCACAGAAAAAGCGTGACTCAGTCTGCATGAGGACTCCCCAAACTTACTGTGTAACAAAATTGCTCAGCTGGCTCCCCTCTGACCAGAAAGACAGCCCAAAGCAAGATCCCTTAGCCAACCCAAATATTTAGGAATGCCCATGATCTGTGCAAGTTATTATTTATACAGCAAACCCACAAGTAACAGAAAATGTACATCTTGTCAGATTCTGCACCTTCAGTCATTTCCCAAAATCTTATGTAAGCTTAGTGCCTATTACTCAGAAAGCCTGATGAGTGACTTTGAGCTATTGCAAACAAGCCAAATAACCCCACCAAGGCATCCCATTCTGGGATATACATATTTCTAGTGATATCAGCATCTCTGAAGCATGCAGTTCCCAACGGTCATTAGGAGCTGCTGGAGTGATGATTAGGAGCTAAGTAGAGCTATGTTACTGCACTCGTTCATTTCTGAGCACAGACACACAGATTCATACCAGAAGATGCAAATTTACCTCCAAAGATGCAAGAGTCAAGAAGAGCCTCTTGTGCTTCCATTGCTTCAGCTGACTTCTTCCCATTCTCTTCCTGGTAGGACTGAGGCGGCAAAGTGTCTTTGGAGGCAACAGGCACAACTTCCAGGGGCTCATCAGAAACAGGTCTCTGAAGATACAGTGAGGATGCCTGTACTGCTGTGGCCCCACTACCTTGCTGTCCTGCACCACATAGCTTGGAAATGGGCACCCTCATTGGCATCCCTGCAGCCCTGGTGAGAAGGAATAACACAAATGGAGCACGTTCCATACCTGTGAGAGGCCCCAGAATCCAGAACAGCTACAGCTTTCGCTTCCATCAAGAGCTGCTGAAATACACTTCTGAAGGCTTCAAGTGCTGAAGAACACACAGCGCCCAGCCAGGAGAGGTTCCCCATTTTTGTGCAAGTACAACTCAGAAGGAAAGCACACCGCTGCAGACACAGAAGCAGGAGAGAAATACAGAGGCAACAAGGGAGTAAGGCCCTTCAGCACACAAGTTGCCACAACAGGCTCACCTCACTATGGAACACAGCTATTTGGAGGTAGATGTGTATGCAGCTCCAAGGGCTCCCCTGTATTCAAAGGGGAGACTAGACAGAGAAGAAACAGAACTTCAAATATATTTTAAGAGATCCTGCTCTGACCTTCTTTCCAAAACACAAGTTTGTCATACAAGCAGATGACTATTAAGCATTTGTATGTAACAAACATCAAGGCAGCCAGCTATGGCACTCACTCACTCGAGGAAATCTTGCTGTGCTTACCAGCTACAAGGGTAAAAACTACCTAAAAGCTATGTGCTTTCAAAGGAGGGTGAAGGGCCAATTTATGCATAGACTTGGCATTAGGACAAATAAGACAGGCAGTGGCATCAGAAAGACACAGAGTAAAGGAAAACATCTAAACGGTGGTTTAGAGAAGACAGGTTAAGTACAACAGACAACCAGGCAAACACCAAAAACACAATCAGAAGTTTAGTAGATAGAAATTCAAGACAAGTTTAGTGATACCTGACATTCAGACCTACCTTACAAGCTGACCATCTACAGTATCATCAGCCCAGCTATCCTCAGTCATGCTGCTCTTCGGACCATTGGACAAGGACACAGAACTTGTATCAAACTGGAAAGCAGAGAAATAGAAGTGTGGTTTAAAGCCTCCTGCACAGAAACAGCAGAAGCTCAGTTCCACCCTGCAATAGAGCCAGTGACACTCTCCCATTTAAAACTGCACAAATTATGAAGTAAATTGCAGCAGAGCCACATTCTGTCTCTATAGGCTTAAGGATAAAGCTAAACTAGTTCAGATAATCTGAGACTAGGAAGCTGAAAAATTTTCCCACCCAACAATGAGAGAGGACATATGGAAGGCGTCCTATTCTTTATCCCAGGTTGCCATGGCGACACTTAAAGAAATGGAAAAGTCACCACCTGTCACAGCAGAGGAGCCTACTGGCCAATACAGCCAATGACTCTGAGGATGGCAGTTTAAAACTATGGCCTCTCCTACAGAAGAGGTTACCCTGGAAATCATTAACACCAAGCTAAAAAGGAAGATGGAACTGGCACAAGTCAAGCAAGCAAGGAAAAACAGTTGTAGCATCAAATACTGGAGTAGGCAACACAAAGCAAAAGAGACACAAGCACAGCCCCCTTCCCAGAGCAGCATGCTCATTCTTCCCATAGTTTACCTCAGAGAGCCGGGCCATCTTAACCGCAGCCACAAGGTTTTCAACTTGTTTCAAGGTGTCATTCTATGTTGAGGTAATAGAGAGAAACCATAAAGACATTAAATCAAAGCATCTGTTCCAACAAGCACACTGGCAGCCAGAGCAAGGCATGTTCTGGGAAGAGCACAGCTTTGAAGAAAGAGTAAGCAAATGAATGGTGACTGCACTGGTGGACAAAGGAAGTGCTACAGCTGTGTCTGCCTGGGCTTCTGCAAGGCCTTTGACTCAGTCCACAACAACATCCTTCTCTCTAAATTGGAGAGATGGATTTGATAGGCGGACTGTTGGGTGTATATGGAATTGGTTGGATGGTATCATCCAGCAGATAGTGGTCAACAGCTCAATGTCCAGATGGAGATCAGTGACAAGTGGTGTCCCTCAGGGGTCTGTAGTGGGAGCTGTGCTGTTTTAATATTTTCATCAATAACATAGTGGAATCAAGCACACCCTCAGCAGGTCTGCAGACAGAAACAAGCCGAGTGGTGCAGCTGACACACCAGAGGGATGGCATGTCATCCAGAGGGACCTGGACAAGCTTGAGAAGTAGACCCATGTGAACCTCATGAAGTTCAACAAAGCCAATTGCAAGGTACTCCACCACAGTCAGGGCAACCCCCAGTATCAGTCCAGGCTAGGGGATGAAGGGATTGAGAGCAGACCTGCAGAGAAGGACCTGTGGGTACCAGTGGATGAAAAGCTGGACACGAGCTGGCAATGTGCTCTCACAGCCTAGAAGGCAAATTGCATCCCAGCAGGTCGAGGGAGGCGATACTGCCGCTCTACTCCACTGAGAGAGACTCAACCTGGAGTACTGTGTCCAGCTCAAAAGTCCGCAGCACAGGAAAGACATGGACCTGTTGGAGCAGGTCCTGAGGAAGGCCACAAAAATGATCAGAGGGATGGAACACCTCTCCTATGGAGAAAGGCTGAGACAGCAGGGATTGGTCAGCCGAGAGAAAATGTTTGCAGCAAGACCCTCCTGGAGCCTTTCAATAATTAAAGGGGGCCTATAAGAAAGATAGGCCCCCTTTTTAGGGGCCTGACTTTTTAGCAGGGCCTGTTGTGACAGGACAAGGGGTAATGGTTTTAAACTAAAGGAGGGGAGATTTAGACTAGATATAAGGATGACATTTTTTACAGTGAGTTTAGCAAAACACTGGCACAGGTTGCCCAAAGAGGTGGTAGATGCCCCATCCCTGGAAACATTCAAGGTCAGGTTGGACACAGCTCTGAGCAACCTGATCTAGCTAAAAATGTTCCTGCTCACTGCTGGGGAGCTGGACTAGATGACCTTTAAAAGGTCTCTTCCAATCTAAACCACTTTACAATTTTTCATACGCAGAGAGTATGGGCAGTAACAGCTCATGCCTCCCGAGGTTGAGATGCTAGTGCTGCATGCCATGCCCACCATCCCTCTCCATGCCTGCCACAGCGCTACTGCCATACCAGGAAGGAGAGCTTGTGCCGCAGCACAGCATTTTGGAAGTGGCACTGCTCCACCTCCTTCTGTAAGACCGTCTTCTCCTGGGTGAGCCGCTGCACGTTGGCTTTCTCTGCATTGAGGGCCAGGGCCAATGCTTTATTGTTGTGCTTCAGGGAGACTTTAATAGTGGAGGAGTTGTCTGTAAGGGGTAGAGAAGTATGGCACAGAATCAGCATCAAGGTCTCAACCATGCCTCTTCCCTCCTCACGCTTCCTCCTTCCAGAATAGTATTCCTCAGGCTCAGACCTCCACAACTCAATAGCTCTCACACAAAGTCATCAGTGTAATTCCTTCCAGTGAGAAGTCTCCAGAGAACAGCAGGAAAAATTTTCTGTAATAACTTGCAACACTCATAGAGACACTCTATCCATCCTCAGTGGGTCACACTCACTCAGCAAGCTACTGCTTCAGCTCTTAACGAATGATGGTGTGGTGTGGGTGCCAAGTTTACAAAATATAGGCTTAAGACTTCGAACAAGTCACCTATACCCGACTCCTCATCTCCATCCAAAAAACCTACTTTACTCTCAAACAGATTTAGATCCATGTTTCTCAGTTTCTAAATAAATCAATAAAAGCAAGACAAAAACCTAACTTTTTCAAGATAATCCAAATTACCTTGTAAACTATGACTGCATTATTTCCACCATAAAAAAAAAGAAAAAGAACCACAGTTGGGCTAACAGGATTGCATATACACTAAAATACTTTCCACATCCCTTTTTTGCTGTTTGGACCCAGAGGACTCGGTTACCCAGACAGAGATGTCTTAATACCATCTGAGATGCTGCGGAGCAGCCTGTGATGCCCCCAGCTGCTACTCCAAAGGTTCTGCATTAAGCCCACCAGTCACAGACACCTCAGACACCCTTGGGAACCACAGGTGGCACTTGACACTAACTTGCAGGGTACTGAATTTGCTAAAAACCTGCAGACAGAGAAGCAGCTGTTAAATATAAGCTCTGGGTAAGAGAGACTGCCACCCATCACCACGCTGACGTAGTTGCCAGCCTCTGCACGTGCTGCAAGGCAAAATACACTCACTAATGATTTTCGTTTTGATTTTTGATGCAATTGAGGCATTCAACTTCGCAGTCCTCAGGGCACCCTTCTTCTTCTCCCGCATCCGCTCTCTTACACCGCTCAGGCTGAAAAAGGACGTTTCGGAAGCCTCCCGGGATGCCATAGCTGGAGAGAGCGCAGGACCGAGCAGGGTTAGTATTCTGAGGTTAGTTGCTCTTCCCTGCAGCAAGGGCTTGAGGCCAAGCGTTACGCCCTCCCCCCGAGAGGCCCGGCTCCGGCCTCGCCCCCGCTCTGCCCGCCCAACGGCCAGCCGCAGGGTCAGCGCCGC